GTTGGGGAGAGGCAACGACTCTTCTGGGATGAAACAGTGCAGGATAGTTATTCAAATCAAATCCCACTGACAACCCATCAGGCCATACAACCTTTGTGCCATGACGGTGTCCACCAGCCACCACCTGAGGGCATGGCCCTGTACACTTGTGAAGTTTGGAGGAGAACTTTTATATCCATTTGGTTTGAAAATGCCACTATTTTCCAAGTACTGAATTTTTCTAAGTAGTGAGGTTTTTTTCCTAAGTAATGGCAGATGGCTGTTTTCCAGGCTGTGTGGATGCATCTTGATGGAGATGGGGGGCAGTCATAAATTCAGTGTGTGGTCTCTGGACTCCATATGTTCCGATTCTTAATAGTGACCAGGTCCTGAGAAAATCATTCATGTGACTAGACTCACATAAGACAGGCAGCCATGAAGAAAAGGAAGTTGCTGATTGATAATGAACTTCCACACAGTAGGCAATGCACACAACACTAACATCTTATGATCCAGTACATTCGTGGTATTGGCAGACCTGAGAAACCAGCCAATATTCTGAAAGTCACTAAGGGAGAACACAAAGTTATAAAAAACAAGACTCAGTGAACTAAAAATGGTATTTATTTTTGGCCACAGTAACCTTAAAACATAGAATGTTGGAGCTAGAAGGCACGAAGGTCACCTAAGCCAACTATTTCATGTAACAAAAGGGGAAACTAAGGCCCAGAAATGAAAAGTAACTTGCCCAAACCCACATCATTTATTTATTTTTCTTTTTATCCTACAGACATGGACGGAGTGCCAACCAAGAGCAAAGGTTCATTCTAAGCAAAGTGGAGCCTTTCACAAGCTCAAAAGTCTAGTTTAGGAGATGGATATAAATAGAGCCAGTTCTCATACAGTATGATTAGTGCACTAAGACAGGGGTTGGCAAAGATTTTCTGTTAAGGGCAGGATACTAAGTATTTTAAGCTCCGCAGGCCATATAATGTCTGGTGCAACTACTAGGCCCCACTGCTGTAGCACAAAAACATCCATAAACAAGACGTAAATGATAAATGGTCTGCATTCCAGTAAAATTTTACTTACTGCCACTGAAAATTTAAATTTAATATAGGAGACATGTGGCATGAAATATTATTCTTCTTTTGTTTTTTTCCAACCACTTAAACATAAAAACTGTCCCTAACTCATGAGCCTACAAAAATATGCTGCAGGCTGGAATTAGCCTAAAGGCAGTGGTTTGCTGACCCTTGTCTTGGCTGAACCAAAGTTCCAAATGATTTTTTACCATCCATGAACGTATGGTCTAGCTGGTGGTCAGATTCATTCCCCAAGAATAAAAGGCTGGGGGCAGGGGGGAGAGTGTATGCTTGTCAGCATCACTCTGAAGAGGCACAGTCATTGAGGTGGGTATTCCTCACAGAGAACACTAGAAGACAGGAGGAGAAGAGTCCCAAAAGCCCCTAATTCATCTCCATCCCACCTCTACTTCCAGTTAAACTCTGAATGCCTCCATAATCCTGGGCCAACTTTACTTACTTTTCACATTATGGAGACTCTTAATTTCATGTAGTTTAAAATGTGGATTCCTCTGGAGAAGAGCTGGCCCTTTCTAAGTTTTCCCCAAAACCAAGTTTAGAGGGCATCAAATGGCTACATGGAACTCCGTCCTTCCAAGAGTCAAGTAATGTTTCATAACATTAGGGGTGCCCTGCGTGTGGCCTTGGGGGAAGACTGACAACCTGCTCCTCAGAGACATGAGCACACGGGCAGCATCTTCCCAATCTTTGAATGTCTAGCCCTTCAGAGCAGAGTTTGGCCTTTCAGAACCACTAGGCTTTGTCATGGGCAGTTTCCCTGATGAAAAGGTAGAGGAGAATTCTCTGGGTCTCAGTTTCCTCCCTCATAAAAAAAGTCATTATAATCTCACCTACATCACAGGTTTTTATGCAATCACATGTGTGGTAACACTCTGTACACTGACTAACACTACATGAACCACCACTTGCTTCCATCCACACCATCTCCATATTCAATAAAGCCATTTTATCTTTCTGGGCCTCATTCTCTTTATCTCAAAAGCCAGAAGGGTGAATTCAATGCTTCTGAGTTTCCATCCAATTCTACCACCCTGGCCCTGTGCCTTGTTAGGAAAGGAGGTTTTCATTGTAAAACTGTGAGCAGTTTTACATTTATGATTGAAGGTGAAGGGCAGGAACAAAGAAGTCAAATATGGAAAAACACCAACAAAAAAAGAGAAGACTAGAAGGGAACCTTGGCCCTATAGAAGGAGTAACACAAACGGTCCTCCTTGTTCAGTGTCCAGTATAAAATGTCTGCTTCCTTAAAAAGCGAAAATGTCATGTTCTTTGGCATGGTCTAGATTTGCTTTACATGTGGAATGCTGAGTTTGAGAATCCCATCAGTCTTTCCTTTCGCTCCTTATCAGAGTCAATACTTGGAGATGTTAACTAGATGGTCTGTTCAGCAATTTCTAACAAGGGGTTCACTGCCCAGATAATTTAATGTGGAATACACACATTGCTATGTCATGATTTTTTACCTCTGCTGGGAGTGATGGCTTCCACAAAGATTATGACCCATAACACCAGGGTCCTGCACAGATTTTTCCCTTCTTCCTCTCATTTTCCACTTTCATGAAGAAGGAGTATGTAAGTCCATTGACTAGTAGATGAAAGGCTGTCATCTTTCCCTCTGAGGAAAGTGACCTTGTTTTTAAGGAGCCAGTGTGGGATGAGAGTGGGCATAGGGATGGGCTGGCAAATGAGGGACATGTGAGGCAAGTTGGGAGATTAGAGAAACCAGTTTCTCTCCTTCCTGGCTTGAGGAGTTTAAGGAAGGGCAATGAGGATCGAAACTGGGACCCAGCCTGTGGCTCTCAAGGTTGTTTTCTACAAAGGAGAATGGACCTTGGTAGGGCCTTCTGGTATACTAGACATCTTTGGTGTCCAAGAAATGATTCTAGGCCTCTAATAAAAGGAAAATTGGAAGCCCTATGAATTCTCTTGTGACATATATATTATAGGCCCACAGAGATAAAATAATTTATAAAAGCATGTATGGTAGATGATAGTTTTCCACAACTACAGGAGCCTGAGAAACAATTTTCAAGACATCTGGCTATTCACATATTATGAAAAACCAGGAATATCCCAGCTAAATATCTTTTGTTAAACTTAATTATCTCTGAAATGAACAACTTTTGCTCCTCTGAATATAGCCCAAGCTTCTTCATTCTCATGCATTTATTCAAACTATTCCCTCTCTCCACTTTAAAGACCCTGCACTATCAAACATTCTTCTTACCACCAAACACAACTTGGTCCAAAGTCCCATTTCAAGTACTGACTTCTTTTTGAAGACTTCTCTTTTTCATTTGGCTCTTGTTATAGTTACTTTTTTATGAGTTTATGTTTTGCCCCTCATCCCATGAGGCTATCCATTCCTTAAGGCCTCAAACTAATCTTCATATTCCCTCATGTTCAAAATGATACCTGCTTCAGGTCCTTCAACAAAGTAGTCCCCCAAAGGAAAGAATCTGTTGATCATTTGTTTAACCAGAACACAATATCGAGTAACCTCATCTATAAATGGAATGTTTGCACTATTTAGAAGTCTGAACCACAAAAAAGCTGTTAACAAAGATTCCAATTCAAACTAACAAACTTCTAGATTTCCTGAGTTCAACACATTCCAACTAAGTTTTGCACCTTCTGCGTATTTATCCAAGCAGCTGAATAAGTTCTGAATAATAAGCTTGAGGCATGGCAAGGTCTTCAATCATCAAGAAAGATTCAATTATATTCAGAGTGTGTGGTTTCCAAAGGAGGAGCATGGACCAATATTTTGAAAAGGCTTTCAACAAGACTGATTGAACTAAAACGTTTTCCTGAATAAATATTACTTATTCGGAACATGCATGCCCCATCCCCATCCTGGTTCATGAACTCTTTGCTGTAATTCCTTATCTCCCCAAATCATTAAGAAGGAGGGAGAGGCGAAATGTGAGATGGACTGTACTAGGGACTGAATGTATCTTCCTCAAATTCATGTGTTGAAATCTTAATCCCCAGTGTGAAGGTATTAGGAAGTAGGGCAAGATCTGGGGAATGATTAGGTAATGAGGGCACAGCCCTTATGAATGGGATTAGTGCCCTTATAAGTAAAGGCCAAGAACTAGCTAGCCTCTTTTCTGCCATCTGCAAACCAGGAAGTGGGTTCTCACCAGACACCAGATCTGCCAGAGCCTTGATTTTAGGATTCTCAGCCTCCAAAACTGTGAGAAGTAAATTTCTGTTAGCAGCCTGAAGGGACTAAGAATGTCTGTCCCTGGGGTGCCCAGGTGGCTCAGTGGGTTAAGCCACTGCCTTCAGATCAGGTCATGATCTCAGGGTCCTGGGATCGAGCCCCACATTGGGCTCTCTGCTCAGCAGGGAGCCTGCTTCCGCCTCTCTCTCTGTCTGCCTCTCTGCCTACTTGTGATCTCTGTCAAGTAAATAAATAAAATCTTTAAAAAAAAAAAGAATGTCTGTCCCTGCTATGACCCTGACCCTTTAGAGACACAATCTCAATCCGATCAGCAATTCTATAAGGCAAGTATTATATACACTTGACTTACAGATGACGAAACAAGACTAAAAAGGGGTTAAGTAGTTTCTCCAAGGTCACAGACCAAAAAGTAGACCTACATCCAAACCCCTGTGCCATTTCTTTCAAAGTTCATGCTTTTGCACTGTACAATGCTGCCTAATGCAATATTTTCATAGCATCCAAATAGGCGAGTAAAAGTGGTTGAAATAAAAAAATTTTTTTAATGGAAATACATTATGGTGTATGGTGTCATGAAGCAAAACATTGGACCAGGTGATATAGAACAAGTAGCTCTCACTCTGCCATCAGCCACCTAACCGTATGACCTCAGCCAAGAGACTCCATCTCAGAATCATAAAATCAGACTGCAAAAGCTGAAAAAATACATATTGAAAATCACTTACCCCTTCTCAATCCTCTTCCTTTGCAGAAGAGGAATTTGAGGCCCAGATGAAGCCATTTGCCTACAGTCACACAAAAGCACAATTCAGGTTTATCAAACCCATCTAGGGCTCCTTCCACTGGATTGTCTCTTCTCCCTAGGTCTTACAAACCAAACCTCCAAGACTGTGTTCTCTTAGTTTGGGCTGTTAAAGAGGAATACCATAGACTGGGTGGCTCCAACAATAAACATTTATTTCTCATAGTCCTGGAGGCTAGAAGTTCAAGATCAAGGCCCCAGGAGATTTGGTGTTTGGTGAGGGAACTCTCCTTGTTTGCATAGGACTGTTTTCTTCTTGTACCTTCACATAGCTGAGAGAGAGAGAGAGAGAGAGAGAGATAGCATCTTTCTCGCTTTTTTTTCCTTGTTTAAAATTTTTTTTTAAGTATAGTTGACACATAATGTTACATTAACTTCAGGTATACAACATAGTGATTGAACAAGTTTACACATTATGCTATGTTCATTGCAAATGTAGGTACCATCTGTCACCGTACAACACAACACCATTGACTACATTCCCTCTGCTGTATCTTTTATTGCTAATGACTTGTTCATTCCATAACTGGAAGCCTGTATCTACCACCACTTTTTATCCATTTTGCTCATTCCCTCCAGCCTGCTCCCCTCTGGCAATCATCAGTTTGTTCTTGTGTTTCTTCTTACAAGGGTACTCATCTCATTCATAAGGGCTCCATGCTCAAGACTTAATTACATCCCAATTACTGTCCCACCTCCAAATACCATCACATTGAAGGTTAAGGATTTCAACATATGAATTTTACAGGGACACAAACATTTAGTCCATAATATGTGTGGTCCACTTAGACTGTACTATACAAACGTAGAGGATTTTATTACAATTTCTTAGTGTGTAACTATAAAGTGAGAGGTCTCAGAGATACTATGAGAGAAAGACCATACAGCCTCTGGCCTATTTGGTGGGGTGTGGGGGGGCGGGTAGTGGGTAGAGAAAGAGAGAAAGAGAAGGGGAGGGAAAATGGGTCCTGAAGAGGAACTTTTCCTTAGGGCTGCCTCAGATCCCAATAATACACCTGAGTAAGTTTCTGTTCTTTATAACAAACCCCCAAAAAACTAACTAGAAAACAGAGAAAAGTCTTTATCTTAATTAACTTTTTCCAGAGCATCAAATGATACTCTGGTGTAGTGTATATAGGTAGAAACACCCAGATGCTAGCATTTTGGAAAAAAGTTATGTAATTCACACAAAAAAGAGCATTTCCTGCTGGACCTCTCTTCAGATCTTCAATCTCATTCCTCCACCAAAATAACTATTATTAATGTAAAAAGGCGAAAAGAGCCCGCATGTGAGCTTTGGCTCAGTGAAGCGATGGTGGAACAGCCTTCCTTCCTTCTGACTGCATTTGGCTCCTATGTGCTTCCCACAGGTACAGTTTTTGGCCGGGATCATCAGCGCAGTGTTTTGCTTAGCAACTGATGGGCTTTCATTGAAATAACCTCTCTGCTTAGAGGGAGAAGACTTGCCTATGTCACCTTATAAGTTAATATATTATGCTACAGTGGAGTACAGCTAGAAGGTTATGAAAAGTATTTCCTAAAATGTTTTTGTTGGGACCCTATCCCCGTGAGATGCTATGTGACAAAAGGTTCTGAGGTCAAATAAGTGGGAAATGCTGCCTTCGTTACTGCCTCTTAAGGAGTCATTAATGCACAGGAACATTTTAAAAGTCTTCTCTGCTGGCTCCTCCTCCTGACCAGATTTCTCAATTCAAAGTGCCTTTTGGAGCTTGGCTTTGGGCCTTAACTCCTCTCTACATTCTCCCTAGACGATGTCGTCCAGATCCATGACTTTAGATCCAGATTCATGACTTTAGATTCAATACCAGTGATTTCCCAATTTATATCACAGACTTTTCTCCTAAGCTCCAGACTCTTGGATATAAGATCTGTCTATGTGATAGCACCTCTTACATGTTAATACGTATCTTGAACAGAATGTGGATAAAACAATCTCTTGATTTCCTTCACCCTGTAAGTCTTTGCTTCCTTAGACTTTCCTTGCTCAGTCAATAATTCTACTATGTAATCAACTCTCAAGCTCAAGCCCAAGAGCTACAAGTTGTCACTGTCTTCTCTCTGGTCCCTATATCCCCACATTAACCCATTAGGAAGCCCTGTTGTCTTCACTCCTGAAAAACATGCTGGTGCCATCCACTTCTCTCTACCTGTTCTGACAACCCCATCATCGTCTCTCAGGTGAGCTACTGTAAGAGCCTCCTAACTGGTCTCCACTTGTCATTGTGGCCTTTAAATTCCATTTTCTACACAACAGCCAAGGAGATTTCTCTTTTGCAAATTGTACTTTCAGATCATGCTAAGGCTTAAAGCCCTTCATATTGCTTTCTACTGCATCAACAATTAAATCTTCCTTCTTACCACGGCCTCTAAGATCATCTCTTCACACACACTTTCCTGTTTGGTCAGTTTCTCGGCTCCAGCCACAGAGGCTCTCTTTCTTCTTCCAACATGTCAAGCTTTGTCCTGTCAGGTCTGTGGGCTCATTGTTTACTCTGCTGCCTGCGTTTCCCCAATTCCAGTTCTTCCCTATAACATCACCCTTTAATTCTTCACAGTCCTTACCATTATTTGAGGTCTTACTTGTTTGCTTGTGTTCATTCACCTTTTTTGGGGAACCACTAGAAAGTGAATTCTATGAAAGCAGGGCAGGGGTCTTATTTGTCCTGCTCATTCTTCATCAGGATTTGCTCAGTGCCTGGCACATAACAGGTACTGAATAAATATTTGCTGACTGTATGAAATGATTTGAAAAATTATGTATTGGAGAAAACTGTGAAACTTAGTTTAACCCTACAGTTTTCAAGTTTATTTGAGCTCAGAACCCTACCTACCATTGTAAAGAATATTCACTCTCCTGGGATCCTTTCCTAGAATGCACTTGTTTTTTTGCTGATTTAATATCAGTATTGAGAAGAGTTAATGTTGGAGACCCATCAGAACTTGAAAACCTCTCGTAAGCAGGCATTTTAGCAGGTCTTTGGGAGTCCAGGGTATTTTTTTTAGTAGAATGATAGTTTTAAAAGTAAGTTGAGTATTTTTTCCTTGGGATATGGATTCAAAAAAACTAAGCTAGCAGCTCAAGATTAGAGGGCTCAGGGACAGATGAGCTGTTGGAGGTGGGAGAGAGGGACTCCAGACAGGATATAGCAAAATTAAGGGATGTGGTTGACTAAGGGTAAATGAGATTGAGGCCCAGTAAAGCTTTCCTACTTGTAATGGAATTTTTAGAAACAGAAACCTGAGTTGGAAACTTGGCTATTTTTATACGATGTATGTTTTCTGTAATTATTTGTTTTCTGTTTTCCCTCATGTTTAGTAAAGCTGTTCTTGAAAATACCAGCCTGTCTTAGCTATGCCAAGAGAAAACATTTTTGTCCACACTGAAAAATTTAAAGGGGAACCACCCAGTTTTAGATGAGACATGACCAGGTAATGTAGTGACATAGAGAATCTGGAAAACAGAAACCCAAAGTGAAGATGAAAGTCAAGCATGGAGTTAGGAGAAGTTGTCCCTCCCTTCCACAACCTAGAAACACTCTTTCAAAAGTCTGATTTGGTTCAGCTCTGATCTGTTTAAACTTTGGAGGGTTTTGTGTTGAGCTCTAATTAGACAAAGCTAATTCTTTACAAAGTCACGCACATGAAATATTAAACTATAGAAGGAATTATCTAGTTGTATAAAAAACCTTAGACAGGGGCACCTGGGTGGCTCAGTGGGTTAAAGCCTCTCTGCCTTCGGCTCAGGTCATGATCCCAGGGTCCTGGGATCGAGCCCCGCATCAGACTCCCTGCTCAGCAGGGAGACTGCTTCCTCCTCTCTCTCTGCCTACTTCTGATTTCTGTCTGTCAAATAAATAATCTAAAAAAAAAAAAAAAGCCTTAGACAGAATTAACCAGGAGAACTTAAGAAGTCCTCTGTGACTTGAGAGGAAGTTTTCTGTGACATGCAAAGAGTATGTAAGGGATGCCTGGGTGGCTCAGTCGGTTGAGCATCTGCCTTGGGCCATGATGCCAGGGTCCTGGGATCGGGTCTATATCTGGCTCTTTGCTCAGCGGGGAGCCTGCTTCTCCCTCTGCCTGAGGCTCCACCTGCTTGTGCTCTCTCTCTCTCTCTCAATCTCTCTTTCTCTGACAAATAAATAAATAAAACCTTAAAAAAAAAGAGTAAGTGAGAAGTTCTGTGCCTATAGCAGAGTGCTCTGAGTTTGGATCTCAGTATTTCTTAATCCATGATTACACTAAGGTTGAGAGCTGGATTTTGTCTTTGGGGAAGGCTCTTGGAGAGACCAATGGGAGAGATTTTTAGTCATAAAGATGAGTGAAACCCAAGGGAATAATCCAGATATAAAGGATTGGAGGATTTGCGTACAGTATTTAGCAAGATAAAGGGCTGGCGGGGTAGCAGCTGGCCCTTATGTTATTTCTGGTTGTTCTTTATTAGGTAGGATATGGTCTCAGGGAGCATATTAGTCAGGGTTCTCCAGAGAAACAGAACCAACAGTGTACCAGTGTGTCGGGAGTGAGGGGTAGGGAGATGCACATTCTATAGAGCCAGTGTCCCAGTTTGAGTCTTATGCTGGAAGCTGCTCTAGAACTAGGAAGAGCTGATGTCCCAGTTTGCAGGTCGTCAGGTAGGAGAATTCTTTCTTATTCAGGGAAGCCTTGCATTCTAGTCAGGCCTTCAACTAATTGGGCAAGGCCCACTCACATTATGGAGAGCAATATGCTTTACTTAGTCTACTGATTTAAATGTACATCTCATCCAAAAACACTCTCACAGAAATACTCAGAATAATGTTTAACCAAATATCTGAGTACCCTGTGGCCCAGTCAACCTGACACAAAAAATTAACCACCACAGGTACAGAGGCATGTACACAATCAGATTTCCACTCTGGATGGTCAGCCGTCCTAGAAATAGGGTAGCAGTTTAGACAGAAGGATAGAGAGAATCAAACCCTG